GGAATCTCTTTAAAAAAAAACTATTGTCTGGGAAGAGTTGTTCAAAATTTTGGACTTTTAGTGATAACACCGGACGACAATTCAGGCAATATCATTCACGCCAAGATAAGTGTCCGTCGCTTGTTTTTGCACGGGGACTAGTGCACCTGCTTATACGTCTTTATGTTTTTTTCTGATAGCATTTTTTGATGTAATAGTTCAACAAACGAGCAGATGGACACTCGCAACGGATGAGTTACGAGTGCGTTACCAACCTTTTAGGGATTAGGGATTTGGAGATTTAGGGATTGAGAAGGGATTGGGGGAGGGGAAGGATTGGGTCTCTGGTAACCTCACTCACACGGCGAAACACAACGCTATCTTTGTTTTACGCCGGTTTTTCTGTGAGGCAGTGGTGTCACTCCGGTCGAGCCGACCCATTCGTGCCGAAGCATGGCTCTCCCACACTTGTACTTATTTTCCGAAAACACTGGGCGACTGTAGATTGCTCCACATTCCGGTAACCCTACCTCCATATAACTTATTATAGTAATTAAATAAAAATACCTAAGTAGCAAATACTGTATGGAATCAAAGTGCACTTTACCACTTCATGGTGAGTAGGAGTTTCGTTCGAAACGAATGTTGTTTTCAAACCTTTTTCAAGCCTTTCGATTTATAAAGCAGTTCATAATTAAACAGCAAACCGGTGCATCATGTTATAAGCATTCAATATAAACTGTAGGTAATGTCCTTACTAAAATATATATTCGTGAAAGTACCTATAACAGATTTAACGATAAAATACTCAATAATCTGATAGCAAATCTTCATTATCATCACTTTGTTTATTCTTGTTGTAACTTTGATATTGAACTTATTATTTAAGTTTGATCCAACTCCACCGTAAGATCCAAGATTTTTGAAAGTTTTTAAAGTGCTCCCCTACTCCTGTGAATTTCACTACAACTGTATTCATCACTCTTAAAAAGTTCCTCTATGGAGGGTGTAACTCAATGGTCATTGAGTATTCATCATTAATTCAGGTCTAGATTTAAACTTATTTTAAAACATAATTTGAGGACGACATTACCAGCAGCAGATGTAACAGAGACTGAAGAATGGCTTTGTGACAAACCAGGATCTATTTGGCGCTGCTTATGGACACTTACAACAACGGAGGAGGAGCTATGAATGCGTTGTCCATCTTTTGTAGATTCAGAGATTTAGTGATTGCGAGAGAGGAAGAATTGGGAATCCGGTAACCTCACACACAACGCGAAACACAAAGGTGTATTTTTGCACGCCGGTTTTCTGTGAGGCCGTGGTATCAATCTAGTCGAGTCTACCTAATGGTACGGAAGCATGGCTCTCCTACACTACAGTTATAGTCAGTCAAAAGTTCTTCTAAATATTTAATATAAGAAACAGTACAGTAACGGCAAATTGTATGTTATTATCGGACGTCCACTCAATGTACGGAGATAATGTAATGTACCTACTCACTGATAAAATATTTGCAGTTTTGAGGAAGCCAGAGTACTTTGTATTGATAACGTTGTTTTGTATCGTATGGGCAACGCAACGTTTCTGTTTACAGAACAAAGTAGTACCAATATATTATGTTAAGTATACTAGTTTTCTAAGCGTGTTCGTCCACAAACCTTAATAAATTGTACTCCTAACGCCTCTTCTTGAATCATTCTATCTATTGAAAGAAACGCATCAGAATCTGTTACGTAGTTTTAAAGACCTAAGCATACATAGACACAGACAGCGTCAACGATATGTTTTATACTTGTAATTCACTATCACTATTGTAGTCATAGTGAATTACTAAGATTAACACCCGGTTCTGAAAGGCTTGTCAATGCTAAAATTAACTAATCACCTGTTAAATCTCTTGTCAAGTCATCTGATTGGTTGTTGATAATTCAGTCAACCAATCAGATGACTTGACAAGAGATTAAATTGATTTTAACATTGATAAAATCATAACTGGGAACTTGAAACTGGGTGTTAATCTGGTAAACACAGCGTAGAACGTCTACGGACAAGACGGACATATCCACCATATGGTCGCTGGTGCAGTGGTGATGGGTTTAGGGGTCAAGCGTAATAAGATACCGCGGCCGGTGGGGTGGTTTTTAGTAAGAGTCTGCAACTCCTCTTCACATTATCCAGTGAAAAAAGAACCATTTGGTTTTTCCACTCAGAAAACTAAGAAGGAAGCAAATGCGCTGTATGCTGTTCGTTCGTAACTGACGTATTTGACTGATGTAAATGACTGATGATACATTTCTGTGCCAAATTTCATCGTTACTTGATAGAGTAACAACCATTCATTCTTACTTTAAGTACCATTTCGTTGGATTAGTATGAATAAGTTGTGATCATTGCTACTGCTAATTAAAAACCATTTCTAACAAAAACACTATGACACTTCACAATTGAAAAAGGCCAACTAATTTTGATCCACCAGATAAATGAGCTTCGAAATGGCCACTAGATGAACAGGTAGCACATCATACCGACTTTATAAAAGACTTTAAACTCTACACTTTGATGATAAAGTCGAGAGTACATTGTACGTGAGCTGCAAGGGATGGAAAGGTCAGAGGTGACGTCATCCCCTGACGTCATAATGGCACGGACTTTGGAATATTATGTTGACTACGTGCATACGCGGTGAGTAACGTTCATTATGGTAATTAAAAGATTTCCTTATGATAAAATGCCTTTGTTTTAGCTAGATATGTACATACATGTTTGTTGAATACATAGCTCAATATAGGTAGCGACCGATTTAAAATTTCTAGCTGAGTGTATAGTTTTAGCTTTGGGTCTTAAGGAGCCGAGGACCGTAATCATCAATATACACGTGTACCATGCGACGTTTTTCAACACACTTCCGAATAAAGTGGCTCTTATCCCATGGCAATTAGGGACATAATCAAACTGTGACTTTTACATTACAATTATTTACAAGTGAGTAATAGAGTTTTTTATATCATTAAAAGCCGAAAAGCCCAAAAAAAGAAACTTCGTTTTTTATCTATGGATAAATTTTTCCCGCCATTACGAAACTTTTAATTATGGTTTTATATTTAAGTATTATTTTATTCAGAAGTGTGTTGAAAACGTCATATGATACACGTGTGAATTGATGATTATTGATTATCTTCCGCGGCTTCTCAAGACCCTCTCCTGAAGGCTCGGGCCACTTATTTTGGAATCAAGCTGTAGACGAACAGAAGTGTCATCTCGTCATGCATGCAAATGGTGCGCCCATGAATACCCATAACATCAAAGGGGGCGCTGTATTGTGTTATCGGCCTATTAGGAGTTAGGAATTTTAGGATTAAGGGATTGGGCATAGTGGTAACTTCACTCACACGACAAAACATACGCTAGCGTTAGGTCACGGTCGAGCCGACACATTCGTGTAAAGCATGGCTCTCCCACACCTTATAAACTTGTTATAGAAGCAGTAATGGATACACGAAGTAGGTACATACTATTAATAAATATTTCCTCAAGGAAAATAATATACAAATACAATAAAATTCATATACTTTATTCACAGCCTAAATAACATTACAGACCAACTACGTGTTATACAATAATAAAAATAAATAATCACTACTTTAAATAAGTTACATTTCAATTGTAAATGATTATTATTATTTTTTTAAATCTTAGAATAGATTTATTTTATTTTCTTAATAGCAATGATATGGATGATGGCAAAAAAAAATATATTTTATTTTTATTTTTTTATAAAATGTAATAAAAATAAAAAGTTTTCGAGTTTATTTTACGTCATAGTTGAAACTAACTAAGCCATGACATAATGTGATATCGGTTTTTGATGGTTCTACTGAAGGTACTTATATCTAAGTAGTGAATTATTTTGTAAATAGTTTGTAGTTTTTCTTTCAATTATATTACACAGAATAATCATAAGCTCGAAAAATTATTCATAGTTATTAATTAATATTACTGTACAATCTGTTTTATTTATCTTAGCAATTAAGACATAACAGAGAAATAATTTTTACTTATATTAAGTACCATCCTACCTAAATTATTTTTGTAAACATATTAGTAAATATTTCAAAAATAGAACAGCAGCCATCTTTTTTGAAGTGCAGTCGTTTAAATAGGTAATTTATCAAAGTCGTTTTCTTTTATCGATCTTAAACACTATCTTATTGTTATAAAAAAATATACTTATGATAAAATTTCTGATTTTACGACTGACGACGCGATCATGAGAATCATTATCTATAAACCTACATACATTTTAAAAATGGGATAAGTCTATTATGAAGTTATGTTGATTTTTTTCGAAAAACAAATAAGGAAAATGTAACACTGATGTAATAACTTTATAAACTAAATTGACACCTAAATACTATACATACTTTTGTTATAAGTAAAAAATGAATCTGCATTAGTTGGCAAGTCTTGTCTGAAGCAATCATTCGCATAATTTTGCATACAATGCAAGTTTTTGACAAAGAGGTTTCATTACAATAACTAATTAGATGATAAAAACTCCTTAGTGATGTCATATTGTTTTTAAGTGACGAAGCACGTTCTGTGTTCCATTTATAAATAATTATTTTATAGCATAATAATTATATTCTACACTAATTATATTATCTTAATGTAATTTTATTGTCATTGGATGCAGTCTTAAATTTTTATTTCATTTATTATGACGAATATGAATAGCAATATTAAAAAAATTTTTTTTTCATTATTTTAAGTCTGTTTCGTTTTCATTTTGTATTAAAGAACTAATAAGATTAATTTTTTTAAGAATTTTGTAGACGATTTGAAATATCTTGTGTGGTATATACTTATATACCTACTTACTTTACTAATTATTAATTTAATTAATAAACACATACATTCAAAATAACCGTTCCTATACAGACGAACTGTTAACCTTTTACATCATACAGTCATATCCGATATTTATTTTAGTGTACTGACAAAGGTCACAGCGAAATATGCGACAGAAATTATCTTAAAAACGATCTTACATTGTGTTACATACAGACCAAAATCCTTTGTATTTCATAAAAATAGAATCTAAAATCAGTCAAATTAGACGTATACACACTTCGACACCTAACAACACTGAATAAATGCATAAACTCAGTTAAAACACACAAACTTAAAAATACACTAACGCATAGGTATGAAAAACTTCTCAATCGCATCCGGTTTGACATAAAAGTACGGTCCGTTTGACGTCAAATCCCTCTCTCGAATCTTACGTTTTGTGCTCCCCATTATTCTTGATGATCTTAACACTCTTTCTTTGGGATATTGAGAGTATCCTGGATACAGGGAGAGCATTCTTCTATACCCGGGAAATGTTAATGGTTGGTGGAATGCTGGAAACGATTCAAAACCTCCTGACGTATCGTGTCCAAATGGTAAATCCATGTCCAAAGACAATTTAGGGTCTATTCGTTGGCTTTGCTGTCTCCCGAAATTGCGAGGCAGTGAAACTTCAGCACGATTAGGATCTTCAAATGGTATGCGCTGGTAATTCATTCTCCGTGAGTCTCCAGCTGGTGCTACGAAGCCTGGAGGTGGAAGCACCGAAACTGGCACAGGCCCTTCAATCCCCGGTGGAACCTCTAAATCTTTATCCGTATCTATAACATGGAAATCCGTAAAACTTGGATTATTTATTATTTTATCATTTTGATCTTTAAATTCGTTACTATTAGAAACCATTTGCTCTGACATTTGTACGTCAGGTGTGTGTTCTTTGAAAGATCTTTTAATTTCATTATCTCTGTTAGCTTGTTCGAAGTAGTTGTCCACAGCATTGTTATAGTTCTTGTTGCTTATAAAGTCCACATCTGCATTTAGTGCATACATTTGTGTATAGTCTATTTGATGCACGTCAAATTTCGCTCGTGTTTCGTCAAGTTGTCTATGTGCGATTTTATTCAAATTATCTATTTCGTGCACTAAATTGTTCTTTGTATCCAGTTGTGATTCATGGTTTTTATCTTTTGTTGCTTTATTTTTAAGTTCGGTTGTTATATTTTCACTGTCGATTGCGTCTGAATTCTGTTGATCTCCTTCACTATTCTCCAGTGTCATTAAATTTTCGTTACTCGTATGACTGTCTTTGTTCATGGGCTTATTTGAAGCTAAACTCTCAATTAACTTTTTATCTAAATTACTCTGGTAATTTAATGTTTCATTTAATCCTGTAACTAATTCTATATTGCGACTGGTGGTATCATTGGTAGCACTTTCACTGATCTTATGATCAGGAGAAGTGCTAAGCGTATGGTGCATAGCTGTAACTGTGGTTTTAGTTACATCAGTATTTCCTCTAACAATATTAGCAAAGTGATCATGAGTTTCTCCTGAATGAAACTGTCTGTGTATTGTATCAATTTCTTCACTTAATCTTGTAATATCATCAATTTTTTCTAGAAATGATTCCATATTGTCTGTCTTTTCATTATTTGGTAAACTATCATCACTGCGAAGATTTTCATTAATAACTTTATCGAAGTTACGGTCATTTGATGTATACTGCGCGCTAACAGGAGGACTAACTGATTGATGATGTCCGGGTTTAACAACACTAGTCGCAGCATTGGCGAAATTATTAGCTTTTCCCGTACCCTTGTTAATAATATCGTTAATGTTAGAAATTGTTGTCGCATCGTTTTCGCAGAAATATCCGTTTACAACGTTGTCAAAATTGCTGTAAACTTGTTCTGTCGGCTGCAAAGCTTTCATATTTTCAGGTGGTGTATGGATGTTTGCCACTTTTTGACTGGGTCCGTCGTTTTGGGCGTTCATGTTGTTCAATTCTAATTTAGCAACTTCCTGTTGATTTTCCGGTGTTCTATAGTTTTCGTTCTCAGTTAAGTGATCATAGAGAAGTGGATCCTCAAGAGGTATGCCTTCTGGGATATCATCAAAAGAGAATTCATGCGTGATGACAATATCGTCACTGTCAGTGGCTCTTGCTTTGGAGTACAAGTTGTCTGATGTTCGATAATCGTCAGCCTCATGTACAATGCGTGGTGGACATTCTTCGGGTATAGTGTATACCTAAAAAGAAACAGTGTTTGTGAGATTTTATAAGATTTTTTATTTCAAATGTCTTTTATGTAATTCTGCCGTTGTGTCTTTGTCTTGTTTGTGAATGTCTTTAATGACCTGATCTAAAAAATCGTGCCCGTACCCTAGGACGCTGGCTTGGCAACCCTCAGGAGATGCGAGTCTTTGGGTGGCGATGAGAGTTTACCATCGGTTGACAAACTAAAAAACTTTAAATACCTGTGTATCATTGATGGCTGGCACGTAATAGTCCTGGACCCTGGCGTACGCTGGTCGTGTCTTGACCCTGGGCCCCGTGGCGTGAATTTTGTAGCATTGATGTCCCACATGGTCACTCGTGTCACTACCGTCGCGTGTTCCTAAATAGAAGGTCGCTCTGGAGTTTGATGGCGTTAACTCTATGCGACGAAGTACTGTGGAGAAATGTGTTTTATGTTTACAATGGAAAATGTTGGTTAAAATTATGAGGGTTTGGTGGAAAATTCACAATATTGCCAATATAAGTCGGTTTACTCTTCTACAAATCATTCAGAGATTGGTACAAAAAAGGTAGCTTCATGAATTGGTAAATTAATTTACTTACAGGAAGAAGTTTTGCCGAGTTGTGAGTAAAGAAGCTGTGCGTCTGCTCCGAAGCCTCCGGGGAGGGTGACTTCCATTAGAGCCATCTCTGGGAAACTGCCAGTCCATAGAACGCACGCCTGGAGAAATTACAATTGATTAATTGCTCAGTGAACAGAACTGCTGAATAAACCAGGGTTAGTTTACGTATACTCGAACTTTCATCAAAGGTTACTATAAAGGTATTCCCATTTTACTATTTATCTGAATCATCATAACAATCGTTAGCAGAAGTCATTCACTGCTAGAATTATTCCTTGTTCTACTCGATTTTTATTATAGGATGCTGTTTTTATTGAGTAGCCTTTGCAGCAAGCTTAAACGTTTCCTTAAAACAATTATTTTTTTTGAGCTTGTGGCGAGTATTAATACGACAGAGTCTCAGTTTCTTTTTCTGCTTTGGGCGGAGCTGCAGTATATACAGGGTGTCCGGTAAAGAATGGATAACCTTGAAATGCCTTTTAGTATATCCTTTGGCCATTCAGAAAAAACAACGAAAAGGAAAGTATCATACGTAGTACCTAATTATTATGTCTTGAAGTAACAGAACTGGAGCTAGAGGTAATACAAAATGATCCTTTAACATTTACGTTCATTACATTACTGCATAACCACGATGATTACTTTAAAAATAAATTTTGCACGATTTGTCTAATAATAAATTAATTTGCAAGTTTTTTATAAATTTGTTTTGTATATTTTTTGAATGGTCATAAGATATACTTAAAGGTGTTGCAAGGTTATCCATTTTTTGCCGGACACCCTGTATAAAAATATGCTAAACAACAATCCACTTACTTCAATAACAGCAGCACAGTAGCAACTGGTACCATTGTTGTCACAGTCGAAGGGTCCATCAGTATGCACAGAGACTTGCACTGACAACTGTTTGTCTCGCGGCGTCGTATCAGTGGACATCACGTGGTAGGCTCTCGTTGCCTGGATCAGAGCGCAACCCGTTCCTGGAAAAATATTACTCATAGTTACTATGAGTAGACAGACTCAACGGATATGGACGGAATAGGATTTGTTAAGAAAAGGATCTTCCAAATTCTCAATTCACCGCTATTCATGGTAGGCTATACCTCAGATTGTACGGCGGCCGCGGTTCGAAGCAGAGAAGGAGCTGGGTGGTAATAGTTTGTCATCTAGAACAAGTCTTAAGTAGCCATCTTGGTCTTTTGATTATATCCCCTCAAAAAAACTTCTACACGAAAGAAGTAGATCTTAGTAGCCATCCGATCCAAAAGATAATAGAGTGCAGGCAGGACAGAGTATTACTATCAATACAGTATTACCGGGGTACAGATTTGTTTGAAATGGTTTTCGACCCGATTCAAAAAAGTTGAAACGAGGATCAATGACTTTTTAAACGATAGTCGATTCTGATTCGAAAAAAAACGCGGATAGTCGATTCTGTAACGGTTAGATTTCAGACGAAAATTATTAAGTTTACGCTAGTAAACTAGTAGTTTACTACCTTCTACAGATACAGTAAGCCGTTCCCCTGGTCTCATTTTAATGACATCAGGTATCTTGACTCCTGGCTGCAGCGTAGCTCGATGGTCCAGCCTGCTGCAGCGCGCTGTCACATTGAGGTTGGTTTCCACGGTCTGAGAAGACCAGACCGACAGTGCTTCCAGGGCTACTAGAGTGTCCTAAAGGGGGAAAAATTGTTCATATTGTAAGTCAGTTTTTTCTTTCACTGCTAAAGAAGTGGGTATCTTGAAATTAGGTGTGATGAATAAAATTCTCAAAATTTTTATTTTTTGTTATTATGATTTATGGAGGTCAATGATTTTAAATCTATTTTATGGAATAGAAGGCAAACCGATCACCTGAAGGTAAGTGATAAGGCACCCGAGGAGTCACAGGCGCATTGCCGGTTTTCAATGTTAATGTTAAAATCAATTTAATCTCTTGTCAAGTCAAGCAATTGGTTAACTGAATTATCATAATTTATCAGCAACCAATCAGATGACTTGACAAGAGATTTGATACCTAGTTAGTTGATATTAACGTTGATCGGGCTTTCGGAAACCGGGCATTAGTGTTTTGTCCTTGAGGTTAAATTATTTTTCAGATTATTTGCCTAAAAATTAGTATTACACTGTTCTCACATATCAGAACCGACTAAAGGTTGTAACAAAGAAATTAATGAATTGTAAAACTGATTGAAAAGCAGCTACCATGGAGTTTCTTTCTCGTTCTTCTCCATAGGAATCTATACTTTGGAATGAGCAAATAGCTTCACTAAAGGACAGACGGACAGACTGACACGCATAAAGTTAAACCGCTTGAAATATTTTATTTTTCTATTTTTTCTTGAATTTCAAAGGAGCCCACTGTTGTCTATTTGAAATAAATGATTTTACTTTTACTTTGAGGATGATTCGCATACCTGTGTGGATATAAACCCTCCACTAGCGGTGCGGTGAGAGTTGAGCCAGCGTGCAGCGGGCGGGGCGAGCGCACGCGCCGCGGTGGGCAGCGCGCGCGCCGTCTGCAGCGCCAACAGCGTGTACGAAGTTGCCTCAATTGAGGTTGATAGGCTGCCTAGGGAATAATAGTATATTTTTTATTAGACGTTACCATCATTGCCAGAAAGCCATTTGACTTTCTTATATTATTTTTATCTTATAAATCTTTCATTATCTGAGGGTTGAGCGGTCAAAGAAACCATTTTACACATACTGAAAACTTTAAATACTATTATAATATTCTTAGTATACCATAATATCTCTTCTATTAGATTATTGCTCAAAATTTAATCACAATCAGGCAATTAAAATTGATATTGTCAAAACTTACAATAAAATTTTGCCTTTACATTTTGGTGTTCCCGATTTGCGTAAGAAATAAAAGAATAAGTTCGTAACTGTGCAATACCTTTAAGCGAGACTGATTGGTTACAATAAATAGTCCAACTTACTAGTTTCCCACCACACGTATTCTCCATTTTTCTTGGCCATCTTCATCAGATTCAGTACGTGCTTTATTCCTTCGTCCTGCTCCAGTCCTCCTACCATTCTCCTCAAGCTAGCCTCATTAGTATACCTTAGTTCCTCTTCATAACGATCCAATTTCATGTAAGCGTAGGCTAAAAGGGCATTGGCATATACTCTAGTGGGAGTTTTGGCCTTCATAGGAGGTAGAGCACGGAGACAGGAGAGGGTGTTTCGGATAACGCGGTGAGGGAATGGAGAAGCACTCTCTATGAGAGCAGTTATGACGTAGGCTGTGAGGGCCACGTTCGCGACCTCTCCTTCGTCGTTGAGGCCTCCCTTGAAAGGAAAATGAATGATAAACGTTAAGGATTATATCGGAATAAAATCCTTTTGATTGATATGAAATTGATGGGGGTTTTCACAGATTCTAGGTGTGCTTTCTAGACTGACATAATTAATATAATTTATTTATTGATCCACGAAATAATTAAAACAACTTGCGTTTGGTATTATTGGACGAACCTTATGGGTAAAATTAAGAAAAATAATTTGACAGATATCTGTCTGTGTGTACTGCATGTAGTTTTAAGTGAGGTTTATAAATTGGTATTTAGTAAATAAATTTAACTTTAGATTTTGTTCTTACTTTAAGTTCTCTATGGAAGACTTGTCCTTCATTTCTGAAGCATCCATTCTCCATCTGCTGGTTTAGGAGCCAGCGTTCCGCTCTAATAATTGCTGTGGGCACTTGCAGATTTGGCCATAAGAGCTGCAAATAAAAAACACATTGAGTAGTAAATAACACTCATGGTTTTTTTAAAACATTTTATAAATTCCTGGGATTTCTCCCGATTCTCATGTTCTATGATGCCGGTTTGAAACCTTTCAAGTACGAACTAGACTTGTATAAGTTAGAGAGTAAGAACTCATAATTTATTTTTAAGCTTGCAATCACTAACAGGCTTGGTGATTATTGTGATTAATCAATACTTCTCCGAGTGAGAAAACAACGGCCTTTTGGGCAAAGGGTCAGCAGTAGGAATTTATAGATTTATGATGTATGATGCGAATGTAACCTTAGAATACTTTTGATTAAAGACTTAGCTTCAGTGACGAACAGACTGACAGACTACTATTCTATTTTGACGTTCCAAAAGTAGCAATTTATGGTTAAGTTGGAATAAATGATTTGACTTTGACTATTTCCTGAACTTACTTTATGAGCTCGTCGCATGTGTTTAACAACGAATGCTGTGAGCCAAGTTGAGGAAGTGGCATCAGAAGGTCCGAACGCACTGAATCCGCCCGACGGGTGAACGTACTGGAGCTGCCGAGTAAATCCTGAGGAAAGAACGGGTTTAATCATCAGATCCAGGGTATTGCGGTCAAGATATTTAAGATCTTAATTTATTATGTCATTGGTCCGCAAACGAGTAGGCAGGTGCACATGGATAGTCGTAATACCAAATGAGTTATTACAAGTGCGTTGACTCTTGTGCTTTATTAGGGAATTAAGGATAAGGGATTTCAAGATTGAGGTTGGGTTAAGAATTGGGCCTCCAGTAACCTCACTCACACGTTAAACACAACGTAACTGTTACTTAAAGGCGGTTTTCACTGAGGCCGTGGACGAGCCTAGCCATTCGTTTTGAAGCATGGCTTTTCTACACTTAAAATAGCTTTACTAAGTGTCCATATCACTAATACGTTGATGCTAGCGCCTTTTAGTTAAGAGGCTGATTTTGCCTCCAGATCAGTTTTGTAACAATAGAAACCAATAAATCCAAATTAGGACCGGTTTAGACGTTTGACATAAGAAGAAGAGGTTTAAAAAGATAAAGACGTACCTCTAGCAATATATTCCTTAGCGGTGGCCGCGGCAATGGAGGTGGGGTCTAGTTGCTTCAAAGCCAACAGGTTCGTGGCTAGCTGCGCCATATTCTGCTCTCCACAGCCTCGGGGTATCTGCAGGAGGGAATCTGCCTCCTGTTTGAAGAGGGATAGTGACAAAATGTATTAATTGAGCAGCGGCTTTAGACTTTGTATTTTGGACTCGGTCTTAAGCTAACGGAAATCTTTAATGTTTGCTAGATTTTTTCCACTCTTTTGCATTCCAGGCTTAGTTAATATTTGTTTTCCATTTTTTCATTTGTTTAAAGGAAAGAATACTTACAGCTAGTAGAGGTCCAGTCACGTCACCAACTGCCCACATTGTCAATGTCTCAGTACCGGGCACAGCCTTCACTGGAGTCCACGTCCATAACACTTCAGAGGGACCTGCCTCGGAAGTTTCTGATGCAGAAACAAAATTGAATTTTAGTATATAGTTGTAGGCACCCGCTTCTAACTTGGCAACTTTTGGCATGTATCAATGCGACTTTTGCCTAACTATTATGTGCTTTCTATTGTTATAGATATAGATTATGGATACACTACTGACATAAGGTGAAAGATAACATCGCGAGGAGTTGCCGCTATGACACAGGGTGGTAGGTGATAACTTACTATTTCCACACAGAAGAATTGATTTTTGTTCGTGAACAGGAACTCCTTCAGGCTCGACAGCAATGCGGATGATCACTTCGTCACTGAGGGAAAAATCTCTTTAGTTTGAAAGCTTTTTAGGGTATGTCATGGTACATTTTGGGGAAAAGGATCTATAGGATTTTGGAAGAATACTTGATTGAATACGAAAAATTTGAAAACTGCTATCGTGAATCAAGTGAGAAAAGCTGAGTGGCAACGTTCGCTCATCCAACACTCAGTTGCTCATAAATAAGTGACCCCTTGTGACTTGGAACTGGGAGACTTTTCTCTGAAATCTTTATCCAAGAAGATGTTAGCCTTTTTAGATTATTACCTGACTCCAGTCCTTCCACTGGTGACATTTCCACAGTTCCCATCACTGACGGCTTTAGCTCGTATACTTATTCGTGCAGGTGCAGCCACTCGTGCGCGAATCTCTACACGACGGGCGATCGAAGACCGGGCCTTCACACAAGCTGACTCCACCAGCTCTTTGGGTCCTTCCACGTGGGGATCTGTCAGTATTTGAATTTGGACCTGTTGGTTATAAAGAGGAGAATTTATATGTGAAAGAGCCACTGAGCCATGCGTTGAATCGAATGGGCTGGTTAGAACGGAGTGATACCTTGGCCTCTCTTTGAAACAACTACAGCTTTGTTTAGTCGTATGAGTGAGGTTACCGGAGGCCCAACCTTAATACTCATGGACATTATAACTCCTTTAGTCTTACGGGTCTCTATGGGCACCGATTATTTACCATCAGGTAATCGGACAGCTTATTCGCCGGCCTATTACATAATAAAAGATGTTTGATGACAAAACTAATACAATTTGTGTCTGTCCCAGAATCAACGAGTCAGCCATTTTATTTTATAATGGTGATGATTAAACGAAAAACGGAAAACGGAAAACGGTTACCTACACATTATTAAAAATGGGACTGAAAGCTTTTGAAGTAGTCGCAAAGTGCTATCGTTAAAAGATAATGCATTAAGCCCGGTGTGATGTGTGAAGGGTGAAATTATTTAATTTATTAAATTGTACATTAATTTTTCACTTTCTTTATTGTTTTTTGTAGTTGCAATGACCATTAGGGACCAGACAGATAGATCTGCAGTGATGATAAAATTAACTTGCATATTTTTTATTTGGCTTTAGAGCGTTCTTTTTTTAATGAAGTCCCACTTTATTACTTTCTCCTGTGTCGTGGATGCGTTTATACAAATCTACCTACACCCGAAACAACAATTTATGGATAACAAAAAGTGTTGCTCCGTGCGGAAATCGAACCCGCGACACGTTGCACAACAACCAGTTGCCCAATCACTATGCCAACCGTGCAGTCAATATTTCAAACTGTTATGATCTTTGAAGGTTTTCGAATTTTGATTTACATACAGTAAATTCTTTAACGGAGTTCTTCGGTGATATTTTTGGACATGATCAAGACACATCAGCCTTATTAATTACTTTCGAAACTTACACTAAGCGGCTCATACAGGTAGTTGAAGATTCTGTATCGGATGATGGTGGAGTCTCCGCGGCGTAGACGCTTGGGACTGTCTGCGTGGATGAAGAATTCTCGGAAAACCTGGACGTGGAAGGGTACAATTAAAAAATTTTTTTTCAAACTTTGAGTTTATTTTTTTTATAGTAAACGTTGCGAATCCAGATTTGGGGCATTCGGATTTTCTCCTGTGTTGTGGGTGTGTTTACAAACATACAAAATTACTTACACAAGCCACCCAGACCCGAAATAACAATTTATGGATCACACAAAGTGTTGTTCTATGCGGCAATTGACCCTATGACACGTTGCACAGAAGCCAGTTGCCCAGCCATTGCGCCAACCGTGCGGTTTAAGAGTCTGAGTCTTTAAGTATGTTAAGTATCTGGAACCTTCATTATGATAAAACAAAGGATCTATTTGAGATCCCGTTGTTTGTTAATTAAATTCTTGTTCTTTCGACTTGGATAAACTTTTGCGGTTGATGCCTTTAGAAAATGAAAATTAAATAATATTTTTCGATAGAATAAAAAGATGAGTACATAAATAATTTGTGCAATGATAATTACATTATTTTATTTGAAGGTGAAACATATATACCCGTAAAATCTAGAATTGTGCTAGGTCCATGCAAAATAATATTAAATTTTATACACGAAAAGTCAATAGTTGGAATGTGAGCGTTCTAACAACAAACATTATCAGGAAACCGATCTATTCATCCCATCTCCAATCCACAAATCCCCAAAACATATTTGTAACAACAGCGGTTACATATTTGTAACTCCGCTGTCGTTCGAACGAGTCCATGTATTGTGTTACTTTGCGTCTTATCACATAAATAAAATCGTATGAATTGCGCATGCAATACCTGGATAAAACTTCACTTAACGCAAGCGCAATTTATTTATTTATAAACGTATTATAAGATATTTTTTAAAGGGGGATAAATATTATAAATCGGCCCACGCCCTAAGGGGGGCGAGACGAAGTGTCAGACTCTTACTGACTAAAATCCCCCTGTTCCTTCTGCTGCTCCAGAAACTGTGATTCCTTGACGGGAGCTGTGATTCCTTGTGTTGTGCTTGACCCTCAACCCATATAAAATAAGGTGTAAGATCACTGAACCTGTAAAGAGGTATTGCAATTAAACTTACTTGTAAAACAGCTGGTGGTGATATGGCCACTCCATTCCGTGACACGCAGATGGCTCCGGCTTCATACTTGGTGATGGAATCGGGTGCATGTGCCGTTGCAGCACCAGTGCCGTTAGAGCCGATACCTAGCAGGCGCCAGAGCCAAGCCTGAGAACAGAACAGTAGAGAATCCGTGAATTATATAACTGTTAGTAGCAAGGTTATTAGGTATTCAAAGAAAGTGTATTGGATGAAGCTGTGGAACAATATGGAAAGTTATATCTAAGTTTTCGAGCTGATCCATACGAGTATGTGCCGAAGCTTGGCACACCTACACATCTATCTACAAAATAATCTTACACGTTTAATTTTGGCATTGCAAAATAATCATTTTAAAACAGAGTTAGAAAAGAAATATTTACATCCTAATCTTTAAATACAAGAACAAAAATATCATAAAAATGTTTTCGTATTGCTTTTGTTAAACGATGTCCTCATATTATGTTTCTAAGAAACCAGTTCCTTACCTCAGAGAAGTCAGATCTAGGAGCATTCGTCTCTTCAGCCACCAGTAAAGCTGGTGGGCGAGGGATGCAATGTTGTCTGCTGGGCGCGTCTCCTCCAATCAGTCGAACGCCTGCTGCAGCCAGCCATGATGCTGTGAGGTCTATGCTACTCGAAGGAAGCTCAAGGGTATCTGAGTCTGAAAGATAAGTCAAATAATTAGTAGATGGTATTTTTTTATGTTTAATGTAGTTTTGGCAAATATACTATAGTTTTTCTATCTCATTGGTTGAGGAAGAGGCATTGCAGTTAGACATCTTACTTATATAATATGATTTATTGAAAATAACGTCCTAACGTGAATTACTTAAGAAAAGTTCTACTTGTGTTAAGACACAACGGAACTCTTATTGATGTGTCGCTTGCGCGTCGTTTCTCGTTAATTCACGTGACAAAGACAGTCACACGATAGTTACTGTTAAAAAAAACCATTACCGACAACGAGTTTCAAGGTTTTTTAAATTCTCAGAACATCGGATAACCCCAAAGAAGTGAATTTATATCTTTGTTCTTTTTGAATGTATATTCGATGGAGATTTTACGTACATTCTTATTGCTTTAGATACAGTGTATATTTTAGTGAAGATGTCGTAACAAATAATGACAGAAAGGTAATTACTGAAGAAACTACAACCACTTACTTAGGAAGCAGACTCCAGCTGCATCAAACTCCGTGAGGTTCCTGTGACTGTCAATCAGCCTTCTCAGTGAGTTCATGAGTTGTTCCTTTGGTGGCTGAGGAGGTTGTGTCCATTTGGCTGCTGTATCTAGGACTGTGAGCGCACAAAGAGCTGGTCCAGGAGTAGAAATCTGAAGGGTCACTGTTGATCCTGGTTGAGCTTGACGGTTGAGCCACGTTGCTTCCACCTGCAGAATTTTCCATATTGAGACCAGACAATTAAAGTTTCGATCTGTTGTGAATGTTGTAAATGTTTTAGAATAATTTAAATAGGTACTGTTGTTTCAGATTTTGTTTTAATAGTTGCCATCGGAAAAATTGAGAGTTAGAGGTAGGCTTAAGAAAGCTACCACAGAATGCAGAATTATATAATACATATTATCCACATTCTAGTTCAACGTACCTTGTTGATAAAACACTCCTCCATCTCGAAATGCTTGCTTGCACTCACGAGCTCTCCCTCGTGATAGAAGTAAGCAATTAAATGACTATCAGGGCACATCTGGTGAGATACTTTGATTGGCAGCATCACCCTCAGCTGATGTCTATCCAGTAAAGCATCAGACACATCGGTACTGATGTTGAAGGTCGAAGAATCCTTCATCAGCACATCTTGGTGGTGTTCAGGTATTTGGAACCTTGGGTTTCTTGGAGTAAGTTGGCCAGTATTGCGATATTGTCTTTTCTGGTTGTTGGCCTGGATAGTCAGGGTATTTGTTTGTGGTTCTGAATGGTCGCGTTGCGTCATGACGACGTCACGTTGAACAAGGTCGGGGCATTTCGTATTGCGCGCTGCTGTGCGAATCTGGTCTCCAGAGTTAGAAGTTGGACATTGGGTAGTAGCTCCCCATCGGTATATGATGCCTCCCCGCGTTATGACCTGTGAAGAAGTATTCCTTTTTATATCAAGTTACATGAATTTTTGGCAAGAGAGAACATGTGTGCAAAGATTTCCTCCATTCTTAACATAGTGTTTTATTAAATTAGGTTTAATATTATCTTCTTATACAATGAAAATAAGTATGGCGAAATGATATATAGTAAATAAAAAAATTAAAGATCTCATTTAATTTCGTTCTCAGTCCATCGCGTTGAGTTTCGCGCGCGCCATTAGACGGTTAGACCACCATGGACGGGGCATCTGAGGGCTGATGTTCAGCCAGGGTTGCGAGGCAAGCCTTTGGTCTAGAACAGACGAAGGACATTCCCCTTCGCCCCAACCTGGGCGGGAGAAGTCATTTGATAATTTTCCGCTCACAAAAAAAGGTTTGCCATTGTTTATTTGCTATCAGTGACAGGTTGACAAGAAGGAACGTTTTACATTCTTGGCTGATGAGAAGAGTAAGACTTACCACAAAATGTACAGTGAAAGGCTTAGAGGTGTTGTTAGTGTTGAGGTACAGAGGTACGAATGTCCGAGCTTGCCGTGACTCTGCTTTCAGAGGGCCGAGGGCTGCGTGGACGGAGGATGAACGACGCACTGGGAGGGTAAGCGGAGCTGCTACAATACTCGTGTCGTTTGATAGCTGGGCCTGCGGAGACAAATGTTTAGTAGACTTTAGTGTTGATGTCCAATTTGGATGGTTGGTTCTTGTGAAGATTCTATGAAAAATTTCAATCATTTTTTGAAGTCGAAGGTCCTGAAGTAGATATGACCTTGATATTTTTCTATAGACTTAAATGGACTGCATTATAATTTATCCTCACAGAAAATCCGGCGGGAAGCAACTCTTCAGTTGTGTTTCACCATGTGAGTTAGGTTACCGGATGCCCAATTTTTCCTTCTCATCCTCAATCCCAAAATCCCCTACCCTTAAATCCTCCTGTGATATCGCTAGTGTTCATGGGGGATGCTAATTGCTTACCACCAGTTCTGCTCGTTCGCGGACCTATGACATAAACAATTGATTTACCTCAAATCTATAAAAAGGAGTAGCATCTTCTCCTGCAGAGAATAGTAGCCTAGCTATGCCATTATCGTCAGTGGCGCCCTCGGCACACATGGTCTCTCGTTTCTTGATCAGCTGCTGCTTGTCAGGGAAATTTGCTTGGTGTCGGCAAACTCGGATGAGCTCTTTGGCTGCTGGCTTGTCATCCCAACGTGTTGCTTTCACCTGAATTTATATAAAGGTATTTTATCATTATTACTATAATTATCATGAATTCTATTTAGCAAAGTTCGTTCGCTTACAGATAGTTATTTTGGACATAATACAACTCAAATAAGGAGAATGTATCAAACCCTGGTGACACTGAGTTTGAATGTATATTTGCGTATAATAAATGTATTAATGGGAGAGCAAGTGCGATTTCTATCAAACATTTAAAAAAAATTCAATACAATAACCCAACTTGTAATTTACGGAGAGATATAAAAAAAACTGAAAATCAGATTTATTTATACACAAACGACGTTAATGCTATTCAGAAAAAAAATTACAATGATAAATATGTCAAGTTCCCACGATATTTTATTGTTAGAATATTAATTGTAGGTTCTTAATTTTATTAAGTTGAAATCCTGTTCAGCTGGATGGCTGTTTTTTTTTAATCTTGTATGCATCCATGATTGTGGAAGAATCCGCTATTGGATACTCGCAGCATCAAAGAACTTTTGTTACTTATAAGATACTGCAAGTGCCTAGAGTTTTAAAAAAGAGTACGATCTTTTCCTGAATGTTTTATCAAAGACAGCTCGTATTGAGCTAGACTCACTTTTAGCCTGTACGGTAGTCCAGGAGATATAACTGCTCGATGTTTGGTCAGGAACTCCAAAGATATCGGCTTGTCCACCACTTGGGAGACCACTGTCGTGTTTTGCCAGATCCTCGTGCCTTCCTCCTGCGAAAGCAAAATAAGTTCATAATAAGCGAAGAATTGGTGTTGGATGATGAAAGTATTGGTAATTGAGGGTGATAATATCTTTATGAAATGTGTATTTTTCTGTAAACTATGTATTTTATGGCATAGATCGACAAACGAGCCCATGAAAACTCTTAACACCAAAAAGGTTACTTAAAGTACGTTGCTTGCCTCTTGTGGGCTATAAGGGATTTATGGATGGGGAAAAGATTGCGTCTCCAGTAAGCAGTAAAGTTTTTTTTCTTTAACTGTTGTCTTTTTAACTTTAACTAATTATTGACTATTTTGTTTTTTTTTTCGTAATGTGAATCTAAATAATTTTATATTATTTTATAAGCTAGTAATAGCTCTCTTTGTAACGCCTGAAAAAGAAAGAAAACTGTGCCTGTTATTTTAAAATAAGATCTTTGTACCTTAACATGCAAATAAAGAATTTGAATTTGAAACCTCGGCGGTTTCAAAACCCCCACGGCGAAACATATAGTAAGTGTAGCGTCCCGACGGCATTCTTTGAGGCCTTGATATCACTCTGGTCAAGCTGGTCCATTCGTGCCGAAGCATTGCTCTCGCACACTTATGTTATTAAATTTTTCCTTTATTTTTTTTCCTACCTGGAAAGAGAAGTCAGCAACAACAACATCAGGAGGATCAGTGCCGTCTAGTCCTACTCTTTTAGCAGCTGCAGCATGTCTGTGGCAAGCTTTGGGAGCTCTCAGTTGGACGGCAGTCCGTATGCCACCGCTACCACCCCCAGCTCCTCGGAGACGGATCACCAGCATACCTTCCACTGCTTCTGACCATGGGTATCTGAAGAAACAAGAATATGAATACTAGTACGATAAAGAGGTATTTCTAAGTTTGTTGGCAGGGATAATCTTTGGAACCGCTGGTTGGATTTCCAAAATTCTTTCACTGATAGATAGCTACAATGTTCCTGAATGATAGGCTAAATTATACTTGAATTGCGTAATTAGGCGAGCGATTGCTTTAAATGCTGCTGTTTTTAAAATCCCGGGTTACATTACTCTTATACGCGTGCCAAGTCTCGGGCAGCAGTATGTTACAAAAGAAAATTGTGCGATTCTATTTTCAAACCATCCTGTTACTTCTCCCATTCTGGGCGAGTGATGAAGTATCAGACTCTTACTAACTAAAAACTTCCCCGTTTCTTTTTCTGAATCCGAATATCCCATTTTTGCTATCACTTGCAATCCCAGCTGGACATCGGCCCTATTGGATCCCAGGTTGTGTCTGATGGCTTCCGCAATGAAACTTCAGATTTTAGAATACGTAGCATGTCAAATTTGTACTATCTAGTTTTAGCTCTAATTTGACTAGCCATAAGAATTATCCTTGTAAGAATTTCAGCTTCAGCAATTTACGATATTTACCTGACACAAACAGTCCATACTAATCTCTCGCTGGTTCGTAAGACTTTGGGAGCATGGCGGACGCTCAGTTGGAAGGGAGGCAGCTCGTAGTTGCCCACCCAAAATGCTGTTGTACCCTGGTCACAAAACATATATCGATAGGGATGATGATAGCTGGAGTGGCTTAAAGGCTAAGGAACCCATGAATCAACATACAGCTAGTATGTTATAAGTGTGGAATCGCAAATCCGACTTGGAGATTGACGATTATCTTCTTCGAGTAAGAAGAGGCCTTCATTCAGCCGTGGGCACTTACAGGTTTGTTAATGTCTCCTTTACTCTCTTCGTTGTAATTATTAAAGAAAATAGACATATGTTTGTGCTTTTTACATTTATTTTTAAAATGTTTTGTAGAACTGATTTTTTTAACCAACTTAAAAAAATATAACGTTATTATAATTCAATTGTATTGTTGCTATATGCTTTATTTACGTAAGTAACGTACCTGTGATCCATCAGAGAGTCTAGCCCGGAGCGTCCACCTCCCAGTGGGCGCCAGTTCATCCAGCTGGTAGTGAAGCTGCGCCAGTCCAAGACGTGTGCGCACTCGCTGCCATTGTGTCACTCGAGATCCTTCCCACGCTCCCCGGGGACCTTCCAGCCAGACTTCCTCAATCTGGAATAGAAAGCTAAATTGTTCATGTATTCTAAAATTAATAAATTTTGATCCGACAGACAAACATAGTTTATTCGCACATTTTTATATGTCGTAAAACTCAAAATGTACCTATTTGATACAATAAATAATAAAATAATTTGAGCTGTATGTTTTAGAAATATGTATTGTTTATGAGCGATGCGGAACATGGAAACTTCTGAACCGATTTTAAGTACCAAAACTTCGAATTCGTACTATAAATATAGATCTAAATGCATAGTAAACACATTTTTGAAAATGAATTTAGTGAGACAAGTAGAGGCAATTTTAAATAAGTATAAAATCGCCTATAATAGCTTGCTCTACTAAGGCATATTTTCGAGAATGCCCTTAATTAATGTTTGAACTTGATGTACTGTGCTTGAGTAGGTACCTACAAAGTCACATTAAAATCGGTTTGGTAGATTCTATGATTTTTTGAATTGATAGTTTATAGGAAAAAAACGTGCGTCTTAACAACATAAACATCAGAGCATAATAAAACATTAAACAATTTCTTTTCAATTTTGATAAGACCAATGTAGAGAAAATAGTTTCAACCGGGCTAAACCGAGAACGAGAAATTTAGGTTAACTTTAAAGAAAAATAAAAGAAATCTTAAAGTCTTGTTATTAAATGGTGGATTTCGGCTCTAAAAAACAAGCGGCCTTATTACAAAACATTTTATCTTTAGTCTAGGTCTAAACCATTGATCCAGTTTTTATATTGAATCGAAGGTAGGTGAGAATAAGGTTCAAAATACGAAACCTAACTCACTTTGTAATAAGGGGGAAGTAGTTCATAAACACACTATTTAAAACCATATAAATACGATTTAAAGAAGCCAACTCAAGTTACCAGTATCTTTCATTTCGCATCCAGACGACATCTCATTTCAAGGTGAAAACGTCGCAAAATGAGATTGCAAACACTCGAAACCGAACTTTCTTCCGTTTATTAAAGATTGGAAATGCCTTGCCGTCTGTTGACATTGTAAGTTCAATATTTACTTAAGTTTATGCTTAAGCTCTCGGAAGAAGGTCACTAGGTGAAGGCTCTAACGGTTCGTTGAATCATCTTAATCTCCATATTATTGATCTGCTACAGTACCTGGCCATAAATATTGCACATCGACTCTTAATTTCTTATTTTCTTAATAGGATAGGTCGGCGGCAAGCTAGATGATAGATTACCGTCACCTAGTTTGCTGATTTCTTGGCGCCAGCCTAACATGAACATTCGTAATACCCAAAGGAGTTTCTATAAGTGCGTTCCCGGCATTTTTTAAGTTATTACCGATATTGCCGTTTAAGGACAGGAGTAGTAGGAGGATAACCGGGTCGAAACGTCAAGCCTACCAAGGTATTTAAATAATTATTTTCCGCGTTAATACCCGCGTAACTGTATATTGTAAATATGAAACGCGATAGTTTAAAAGTTAGTATCGTTTGGAGATTTGGAGATTGAAGAGAAGGGGGGGGGGGGGTGGAGGGAGAGGGGCATAGACATTTCTAATACCAAAGAAGTTATTACCAATGTGTTGCCTGCCTTTGTAGGTAATTACGGATGGGACATTTAAAACACAACGTAAATAATAACAGATGCAGAAACAGATAATGTTAAAAATATATTATATTAGTAAAAAAAATATTTTTTAGATTCAAGTAGAATTTTAGACCTGTTTTTGAGGCTCATAATCATGAGAAGTACACACGACTACTTGTTCGATCTGTCTTTGTCCAAAGATCGATGTGCACTCTTTTTTGCCAGGTACTGTAACCTGTCCGTCTTTAAGTTCGTGATGTTTTAAGACCCCATAGTGGAGGTCAAGGATCATTTGAAGTGATTTTTTTGAGGAAGTTTTTTCTCATGATCATAGGTCAAGATTGAAGATGATATCAAGATGACTCGCTTGATAGTCTAGTATTTTGCGTGCCTTATTTTTTAGCTTTTTGGGATATGTGGAATTTTATCTCACTGAAACCAACTCCTGTGGCCACATGCAGCACCTTCAAAGTAAAGTACCTTTAGTTAATAAGTCTGGGTCACGGATCTCTTATTTATTTACTTATTAATGTTTTATGTTCACAGTAGATTGACGAGAACAATATTACAATAATTAGGTACTAAGGCACAGCATATTTCTTCAGAAATCTCTCTCAGCAGGCGCGTTATGGGAGGGCTAGAATAAGCAGACATGAAGATTTCCGAAAGCCCGATCAATGTTAAAATCAACTAACTAGATGTCAAATCTCTTGTCAAGTCATCTGATTGGTTGTTGATAATTCAGTCAACCAATCAGATGACTTGACAAGAGACTAAATTGATTTTAACATTGATCGGCCTTTCGGAAACCGGGTGTGACTGTGTAAACGGAAATGGGAAAAAATAAAGACAATAAAGAATTAATAAACTAAATTAATTAATTGCCACTCGGGATGATTATTTGTGTGAGACTTAAATTATTCTGCACTAAGAGGACATTTTTGGAGCTGGAACTTAGAGCTGAACTTAGTAAGGTGCACATAACTTTAGACTTAAAATTGGTAAAGGAAGTATTTTATTTTAAACTAGGTACTCTCGCGTGGTTTCACCCTCTGCTCAGCTCCATTTAATCATAGGGTGATGTTTTATAGCCTATAGCACTCAGGGACATTGTAGCTAGCTATATACACCTATCAGTGAAAGAATTTTGGCAATCCAACCAGCGGTTCCAAAGATTACCCCCTACATACAAACTTACAAATTTTACCTCTTTATAATATTAGTGTAGATTTAAATAACAGGCCGTAGCTAATATTTTTTTTGTGTTACAAAATTCAATCTGTTGCCAATAAATGCACTTCCCCATTTTGTCCATCTTCAATAAACGCTCAAACGACAATCACATTTAATTCCAGGTCACTCCTACAATACTTATACTTTAAAGCAGCTGCACCTTGTTCCTTTTGTCAATTGAATAGCAATTCAAAGGAAAATAGTACTTGTTAAGCAAAATTGTATGCACAAAAAGTTGGGTGTGTGATCAGAGTTTTCGGGTAACAATGACGTGTATTGCTCGGTGCGCAGATGGCATTGTGGGTGATTTTTGCTTGTTATCATTCATCGTAATTCATAATTGTAATTTTGGTATAATTCTTTAGTAAGTTATTGAAAAAAATTGGTTACATAATTGTGCTATTTGTTCGATTTTAAAATTTAAAATATTATATTAGTATTTTTGTTGATAATTTTAATGAGTTATCTAATTCTAAAGCACCACTCTTTGATTTAGACCTACAAGGATTTTCAAAAACCATTATTTGATTTAGAAAATACTTGAAGGAAATCATATATTCTGAACGAACGAAGATGAATGCGTTTTGCCATTGTTATCAATCATAAAGCCCAACCAGGCTAGATCCAAGAAACATATTTCCTATATGGTCTGCAACGCACTAGCGATATCTCAGGTATTGTAGGCTACGATGATTATGTACCAGACAAGACAGTTATATTTTGTTTTGTTGGTAAATTAAATTTTATTGTATGTAATTTGGTGTTCTCTTTAATATTTTAGCTAGTCGATATTAATTTTTTTTTGATCTTAACAGATATTAGCCAAGCACAGATATCTCTGAGGCTACTTTATCTATTTTTCTTGAAGAAAATACAATTCATTATTTTTGTAAATAGGCAATAAAACGGCACTTTTGAACGTCAACATTACCTATATGTAAAAAACTAGATGAAGCTGGCATTTCCTATCTGACTACTCTGAAAAGAAATGCCGATACCAACTCAGAGGTCCGTATTTTATAAAGTCCAGACAATTTGATTGCACGGTTGGTGCGGTGTCGAACGTGTCGCGGGTTCGATTCCCGCACGGAACAGCTCTTTGTGTGATCTACAAACTGTTGTTCCGAGTCTGGGTGTCATGTGTGTGTGTGTGTGTGAGAAAATCCTAATGTGGGGCAACGTTTTTTTAAAAGAAAGAAAGAAAGAAAGAATTAAAAAAAAAACATGTAATGTGTGAGAACCGTGCAAGTTCATTCTGTAGTAGTCTTTTGAGGAAAGAACACACCATTGATATCTATATTAATGACTCGTTTGCTGGATGATTCAACCGGTTCCTATACCAAATGCATCGTGAACTACACGAGTATCGGTGGCTGCATCGATCTGTGTTATTGTGTCGACCGGTCTCATCTTGAAGTAACTGTAAACCTTTGCTATTGTTGTACACAACAATATGTACTCACGCGATTGATTCATTTTTTAACGACACGATAGAGTGTACTAGTTCTTTTTAGTTCAATATCTCTAGGCGATTCTTTCTTGTTTTTTTTTTATAAAAACCGTTGCCACACTCTAAGATTTTCTTCTGTGGGAGCGACACTTTGCGCACCAGCCAGTTGCCCAGCCACCACGCCAACCATACAGTCAATTGGATAGACTGGATTATGTTAGGCGATTCTAATTAGTTTGTGGGTTTGCCTATCTTTTGACATATTTGTTTATGGAAATACAGTTCTTGGAGATATTTAATGATTACTTAAACATTTTTTTTTTGAGGTGGGATAACCTCTTTTCTTCTCTCGTAGAGGTAGTGTCAGTATATTATTACTGATTAAAAGCCTATCCTAACGTACGCAAAGTCATTCAAGTTCAAGTGTTGGAGAGCCAAGCTTCAGCACGAATGGGTTGGCTCGATGGCAATAATACGACCCGCGTGAAGCAACCACAACTTTGTATTTCGCCGTGTGTGTAAGGTTACCGGAGGCCCAGTCATAACCCTCCCCCAAACCCTGCATCCCCAGAACCCTAATTCCCAAAAGGTCGGTAACGCAATTGCAACTCTTCCGTTGTCGCAGGTGTCCATGGGCGGCGCTGATTGTTTACCATAAGGTAATCCGATTGCTCGTTGCCCGTCCTATCATATAAAAATAAAATAAGTACCAATAACTTAAACTGTTCTGATTTTGTTCCGAAAATAATTAGAGTTCATGACAGTTAGTTATTCATTGCAAAAGTTTCATAGCACAATCATGAATATTTGAATTTAATATCATAATTGAGTACTCTTTAAAGCAAACTCCACTGAACGGATCTGTTTAAAATGTGCCACAGAGATAGATTATACACAGTATTAGAATACCCGCTATTGTGCGTATCTATGTATAAAACTACAAACAATAATAAAACAAACAAGTACAGTTAATGAGATATTTACATATGCATGCATCTTGATGCTAATTTATATTTTTTTTGAAGACTATGCTTCCAATTCATGTCTGCACGGTTGGCGCGGTGGCTGGGCAAATGGCTGCCGCGCAAAGTGTCGCGGGTTCGATTCCCGCACGGAACAACTCTTTGTGTGATCCACAGATTGTTGTTCCGGGTCTGGGTGTGATGTGCATGTGAAATTGTATGTTTGTAAACGCACCCACGACACAGGACAAAATCTTAATGTGGGGCAACGTTTTATACATATATATTGAAAAAAAAATTACAACTCTTTAGTCCCCATTTACTAAAATTTAAGACTGTTTGATGTAGATTTGAAGGTATTAATATTATGAAGAAATATCCAGTAACAAGGCGAGCGATTGGTTCATTGCGCCATCAATAAGGACTAAGGACTGCCAGATATTTGAGTGAGGAAATAGTAAATTAATAGGTACAACTATCACAGGATAATTAGCATAGAAATTGTTTCAAATCAACCATACTCGATTTAATTATTTCACAATCGATACCTGTATTTTATGGATACGAGAAATCGATTAGAATTTGGTGACAAACTAACCGATTGATTATAATCATTGGATAATAAATAGTTGTTTAGCCATTGATTGTAATTTATAGCAAATTGTTCTTGCGGACCAAGTTTTTGCCAGGCGTAGGGCCTTTGGTACAGGTCTCGAGTTTGACTTTTAGGTTGACCTACGTAGGATCATGTCCAGTGTAAGGCGATAGGATCACTCCGATGTATGTAAGGCTTACCTATATAATATTTATAACAGTATCTAAATGACCAATCTCACAATAAAATAAGCTTAATTTCAAAACCTTTAGATGCATCGAAATCGTTGGAGCCGTTTTCGAAAACTTGTGAATATATCTTCATATATAAAAATTAAAGGTATTAGACAGATATGTGGGTAAAATGCGCCTTTTAGCTTGATGTATCTAACGTAAATTCTTAGTCTTAGCACGACCAGTCCGCTCTAAAGATCGGAAATAAAAACATTCTACTTAAACATTGAGAACCACAATATTAAACAGCAGCAGCAGCAGGAAGTAACGAGGGAGTAGTCAGTCAGTAAGAATCTGAAAGTCCCTTGACTGACCCAGGACGTCACAAATCATTAAACGATTCTCGCCACAAAAAAAAATAAGTGGCAGTATTTATTTACTGATTTTAATTATAATCGTCCCATAAACACATCAAAGAAAGTAGATAGCTATAATTATTTAAATAAGCACGTAACTACCTACATTGAAAACAATTATCGACGAAAAAGTGAAATTGTCCGAGAAAGAATATAAGTATTTAAATATTTTTATGGTCTCGAGAGAAATTCTCAGGTTGTTTGAGCAGGTTTTGTAAACTGTGTCAGCTGCGTCGATGTACGGCAGTGAGACCGGGGCAGCAGGATTCGTGAGGAGTTTTTTGGTTCATTCTTATCGTCTGATATGTTTGTAGATAGGTTGGTGAGATATATGGGCTTATATCGTCTTTTACTTTTAACCGATTGCTCTCTTTAAGTATCTTTTGAACTCGTTAACCTCTTTTTTGTTGTTAGTTGAATGGATTTTTACCAATGGACAATTTAAATAACATAGTTTTAGACGACAATGATCTGATGGGAATGTTCGAAGTCAAAACGCTTATGTATAAAATGTTGACCTGATGTTGATTGAATGATCATACATTTCTTCAATACTTAATGAATGTTATTATACATATAAACCTTCTTCTTCAATCACACTATCTATTAAAAAGAACTGCATCAAAATCCGATGCGTCGTTTTAAGGATATTATAAGCATACATAGGGATATAGAGATAGAGAAAGCGACTTTGTTTTATCCTATGTAGTAATGTGTCAAGTCAATAAAATCTAGCAAAATAGGTAATATTAGGTACGCATTTTTAACCTTACAACAGTAGAGACTTCTACAGTAACTAAATATAGGTACTTACACTAAGCTATGTAATTGCATACGTATTACACAGGTTTTCCCGCGAGGTAAAAATAATTGCAAAAAATAAATAAGGCACTGACGCGAGTCTGTGTATGTTAATTCAAAATGGCGAATTGTGTCAGTGGAGCGTCCGCCATGTTATAATTTACCCGCGTATTTTGATGAGAGCCGCACTTTTTGCAATGTCAATATTTGTTTATTTAAATATGATACTTATGTTTATACAGGTTTAAGTTAAAAGTTGTATGAGGAAGTGTTTTGTTTTTGCCAAGATTTTTATGTTTGGTATTCTTAATTTGAAAATTATTGAGGTTATATTGTTCGTTTAGTTAGACAGTTGTAAGATTTACTGTTTAGTATGCAAATGACAGGTTTAAATTTCAGTTCAAAAATAATTTAATAAGGAGCTGATTTTTCAAGTCAGATAAATGTTATCAGAGGAATAAAACTGTTGCTGTCACTGTCTTATACAAACATTCTGACGCGACAGCATCATAATGATTCCGCAGATAACTTTTATCTAACCAATGAAAAATCAGCTCGAATTGATTCTTATTTTTTTCTATCGATTTCCCTGCAGTTGGCATAATATTTCGGATATTGCTTGCTTTGCAGCGTGTTGCGTCTTGATTAACGCAGGTACAGAATGGACAAATTGTTAATCAAATAGTAAAATTCATACTTAATAGAATGAAAATAATAATAATAAAAATTAATATGCAAAGTTATTGGCAATATTTTTTACAACTAGTTATTAAAAATAAAGAATTTCAATGTTGCACTCAGTGTAATCCAATAACAAAATGAAACGAAGATCTTGAAAATATCTTCTTTTTATATCCAGCTAGGGTATAAAGTAGTACTACTTAAGTATTCATACTCCGTTACTATATAAAATACTGAACAGCGATAAGAACATACCTAGGGTAGGGATGTGAAAGATAATAAAGTAAAAAGGCCGAAATAAATAGAAAGTGTAAAAGGCGATATTTGAAAAATGTTAACAGCACCCTCAATCGGCGATCATGAATCAAGCGGTTCTAAGTGTGAGAGAGCAATCCTTCGGCACGGCTCATCAGAAAAAGATAAAATTATAAGCTACAATGCGTGAACTTACTCTTTCTAATCTAAGCATCGAGCCTTTTACGATATTAACTCAATATGCCAGTCACGTAAAGTAACCTTTGAAAATGATATTTTTCCCAAATACATTATCTTTTTGGCAACCCCATTCTGAATATCGCATAAACTGGCAACCCTGACCTTAAAGGCAGGTACATTTTATAAGCATACATGTTATATATTTAATGGGCAGATGTTGCTTGCATACTGAAGTAAATACCTATAGATATGTCCATATATATTTGGCAAGTAAGGACGATTTTCTCTAAAATTTTGACAGAAAAAGTTAATCGAGATGGGTATTTGAAGATCAATATAAGTATTAATAATACACCTCTTATTTACACCTATCTTAGCAAAAAATAGGGACGATCAATTTTAGCATACCTATTATACTTTATTTGGGTGATATCTTGATTAGGTACTTATAATAAGAATTATTACGCGTAACTTTGAGAGATGTTATATTTTTCGGTAATCAACTCTAGCGATCGTCACATTGCTTCCTAAGCACGGGATGGTAGACCCGCCCTAACAATGGCATCTTAAGATGAATTCTAAGGACGATCTTAAGCAAGAAGTGCAAAAACAAGAGAAATGCCACTTTTCCTGTTTTTTCTGCTAAAACAGTTATGCATAAATGTTGAACTGGTTGGACTAGTTTACACCAGCCCTACAAGTAGCAGGGTAACTTAAGGATGCTTGCTTCGTTTCTAGGTATGATATCAAAGGGCCGGTTTTTTTATAGTAATAGTTCGGCAAACGAGCAGACGGATTGCCTAATGGTAAGCAATCATGGACACCCGCAACGGAGGCGCTACGAGTGCGTTGCCGACCTTTTAGGGATTAGGTTTTGAAAGATTAAGAGATTAGGGAGGGATCGGGGGAGGGGATAGATTGGGCCTCCGGTAACCTCACTCACACGATGAAACACAACGCTGTGGTTGTTTCACGCCGGTTTTCTGTGAGGCCGTGGCATCACTCCGGTCGACGACGACGTGGCATCACGAGCCGACCCATTTGTGCCAAAGCTCTCCCACACTGTTGCGGGATTTTTACGTTTAATGATTTCCTTCGTCAAAAAAGGCCAACGGAAGATGTCTCCGGTAGCCTACATGAATATTTGGACTGGGGAGATGAAAAGGCACAAATAAATATTTGATTTTCTAACAAAATAAACAATATCTAGGAAGCAAATAACAATGAAATAGTGACAAAGTGTGAACAATATAATATATTATTATATGAATGTGCCGTAAAATTATTTAACAATACGTTATATTGTGGACTAATGACGATGTAAGGCCACTATTGGGCCTTGTCTAAGGTCGGCCGTGAACACGATCATGCAAATTAGATCAGGTTCGGAACTCGTACAAAATTTTAGGTTTTTTTTTAGAAAATATGGTTTTTGATATGCATTTGCTGCGACTTTTAATTTGTCATGCCTATTGGAAATTATTTATTATATCTACTATACACAACATGGACCATTTTGTTTTGGTTTTTAATGGTCTTACTCCTGGACCGCTTTGATAATTGTTATCTAGTATTTAGGTAAAAACTTTTACTCAAAACTACGTAATTTAAAAACGACTTACGTTTCCATGGGAAGGCGCAAGGTCCTGTCTTAGGGCTAGAATGCGCAGGCGCACAGTCTCGCCCGGCCGGTAGCGCGCCCGCTCCGTGGAGAGAACCACAACGCGCCCGCTGGAGATGCGGAGAGGAACACGACGCTCCCATACGCATTGACCTTCAGGGTACCTACGAGGCGAAGAGTCAATTGAGGCAAAACCTTTAAATGCAATAGCTAAAGATTCTGTTTTTTAACAAATTAATTGATTAAAAGATCGGTTGGACTGATCATTGTTGAAGTGGTCGCAACTGTGGTACAACTACAGATCAGGTTAGAGAAAATATGTATTACCAGGTCCCTTCTCTTTATACTTTGACTAGGTAGCATTTTTTATTTACGGTTTTAAAAAAATATTTCTGAATAGTACTTTACGTGTACGTGTACTTAAAAGTACGTTTTTTTTGGTGCAGGGAAAATCATCATAAGACTTCTTCCGTCCAGGGTCGGGGGAGAGTCAGACTCTAACTGATTAAAAACCCCCGTTCCTTCTCCTAATCTGGGCCGTGGAAGAGGTGACTAATTGCGCTTGCCTCACACACAACCTCAGCAGAAATACTTAGCGTATGTAGTTGTGCTTAATTTATGTCAGTGAATTCGTCTTTTACAGGTTACAACTGGGATAAAGATCTCCTTACCTGATGTTTACGACTAAGTCTGCTTTAGAATTGGGTAGCAAGGGGACGTTGATATCCAGGCATCCACCATCACCTGCGAAAAAAGAACATAATGTAAAAGTCCACTATTTAAAGAAGAGGGATTTTGCAAAAAAATTATGTTAATTAAGTTTTGAAGATCTTTCGATTTTGGGTATGGGGATTCGGGGATAAATATTTAGATTTAGTTAAAGGACATGGTTCTCACTAACAGCTAGTGACTTATTTATATAGATTTGTCTAACAAAGCGTATTATAATTCCTGATAAGGATTTCTTGGTAGCAATTTTATGCTTATAATATGTACTACTTTGATGAAAAACAGAGGAATTGCTTTAGAAATTTTAAAACAGAATCATAACAATATTACCTGCAGCAAGTTCTCTAGAAGCTGAGTTGGTTTGCCTGTCTTCTGTCAGTAAGGTGAGTGTCATGCGAGCTGGCCCCTCAGTGTAGAACCGGGAGATGCAAGCCCTGTTCATGCTGCCCGCAGTCAGCACTCCTGGAGCCAGGAACATGTGGTTCCTGTCCGTGCAGGGGTTTCTGAAAGAAAGATCTTAATGTTATTCTTTATTGTGATTATATCTTTAGTTGCTTAAAATACAGGAATGTGCCATAAAAGGCAAGGCCTAGGTAGAGCGGAGGTTAAAGCGCCTGCGCCTGCTGGCTTCAAGCGTGGTGGGTGAAACCTGGCAACTAATTTGTAGTTTGAATTTTTTCAAGTTAGTAGCTTGTAGGACGGTAAGTTGACGTAAAGAAGTAGGTTTTTGAGTTTTTTCTAGACACCACAGACATCTAGTCAAACAAAATATCTTGAGGAAATCTAGTCTGAAAATTGCTACTTTCTGTTTGAAATCGCCAATCGACCTTTGCTCAGCAAACATTATAGATCCACAGCTGGAACACCAGGTCCCTCATTATAGGTACTGATGGTATGTGTGGTGAGAATGCCGCAACCTAGTTTTTCTTTCGAGAAGCTAAGCATATCTTTTAGGGCATATTCCACGCACTAAAGACAAAGGCAAAGACACTAAATACATTTTATATACATAGGTATGTTATGGGAATATAATATTTATGCATCTAAATTTAAGTGACTAGAGATATTATTATTGAATAAATAATTGTAGAGCGTTTAAAACTTTGTGATATTTTCAACAGTGTGGTTATTTTAAGGCTATATAATCTTTTAACGATTCGCTGATAATTGTAAAGTATTAATTAAAAACCTTTAACGGTAAAGTCTAACCTTTTAGTGAGATCATCACGGATCTTATCACATAATGTGTAAACTTATGGACACACATTAGCGTGTTTTGGTGTGCAGCTATGTAACTTGAATTGCGGCTGCAACTGCAATATTGTGCCTACTGTAGTCCCAGCCCGGAGTAGACGAAGGAAAAGAACCAGGTCGTTCTCTCACCCCATCCAAGAAGGAAAGTCATTTGTTTTTTTTACGCCCTCATAAAATGTAACTTGAAAAAATACGGGTGCGTTTTTAATTTTAGTTAGATTTATATTTGAAGATTGATGCCTCTCCATCAAAAAGAAAGGACGCAGTTATAACTCTTACTCAGGTTAACATTTTGCGATTGATGTCTTTCCTTCGATGTCCTAATCTACACTAGTCCCGAATATGATTGTATACATCCTATTACTGTAAAATTGAAATAGAATATACTTTCAATGAAATTCATAGACGTACAAAGTCAAAGTCAAAAGTCAAAAATCATTTATTCCAATTAGACGCTTACAGGCCTTTGACCCTTTTGAACGTCAAACTAAATTTTGAAGATATAGTGTCAGTCTGTCGGTCAGTCCTCTTAGTAAAGCTATTTGCTCGTTCCAAAGTGTAGATTTCGATGGAGAAGAACGAGCAAGAAATTCCATGGTTACTCTTTTTAAATCAGTTTCATTTACAGATTCCTTTTACAAACAGTTAGTTCAATTATATGAGAACAGTGTAACACTAATATTAATTCAAATATAAAAAAATATAGAATCTTAAAGAAACATATTCTTTATTTTTGTAATGATACCTAATAAAACATCTGCTAATATTTAAAAAGAGTCTATAGCTAAAAAAATACTTTCTACGCAATTTGGTTAAAAGTGCAAAGACGAAAAATTTTTTCTATTATCTTTATTTCTAGAACAACACCTGTTCAAGTCATTGTAATATTACCTACTTAAAATACATTCATGGCATTATACTAAAACAAATCATAATAAAAACAAAAAAACTCTTTTGTTCAAATACATCTTCAATAGCCAGTACCTACTCTTACATAGCACTTATGTTTTTATTCTGTGTCTCATATCAATAAGCCGAGTACATACAGAGTCGGATTTAGGTAGGAAACGCTTGGGTACCGGCTAGGGAGCCAAAGGTGTATGACCAATCAGTTTGAGAACTTTGATGTGATATTTATGTGAATACAGTGGAATATAGTGGAAATTTATGTTAGTCTATGATTTTTATACCCAATTGTTCTAGATTATGCTTGATTTGTGCACCTACTCCTGTATTTTTTTCCTGTTTCCTGTTTTTTCTCATCTAAAAATGAATGATAAACATTATCTGCCAGATGACGACACGAAAGGGACGGCTCGACCGGAATAATATTACTTACGGTCTCCCAGAAAACCAGCGCGAAACAACCACAGCGTTGTGTTTTGCCGTATGAGTCAGATTACCGGAGGTCCAATCCTCCAATCCCTGAACCTCCAAAACCCTAAACCCCAAAAGGTCAGCAACGCATTCGTAACGTCCCGTTGTTGGGGGAGTCCATGGGTGGCGCTAATTGCTTACCATCAGGTTATCCGTCTGGTAGTTTCCCGTCTTTTTACATAAAAGCAATGAATTTTTTTAATGTATAAAAATAGTTGGTATTACATATTTGATTGTCAAAGGATTTGCAGTCCGGCCCTGGCAACAGTCATGATTGCTATTGAACAAAAAAATTATGAAATCAATTGAATACGTGTTTCCTTATAATGATGAGCATAAAAATCAAGGTCCCACTGACCTTGAGCATCGTTACAAATATGTACCACGTTGATGATTTAATGATTACCTTTAATTGTTGACGATTTTATGTTTCTATTGTTTGTGAGACGTGTTTGTAAGGTAATAAAAGAGTTCAGTAAGTGATGTTCGTTAAGATGACAAAAAAAAGAGAAAAAAGAGTTTTAGTTTCTTATTATTTTGGGGCTAAACGTGTTCTAGATTGGAGACCACGTCTAGGCAAACGTAGTGTAGGGCGCCCTCCAGCTAGGTGGACTGACGACATCCGCAGTGCGGCTGGCAATGGTTGGATGAGAAGAGCTGAACATGGAGCTCAGTGGCATGCAATTGGGGGGGCCTTTGTCCAGCAATGGACGACATCAGGCTGAAGATGATAATGATTATTTTAATTACTTTTCAACAACAACACTTCTCTTCCTATCATAGAGATTCTTCAGTCAAGAACTGTACGATTTATGCCTTAATTTGTGCCTTTATCAGCAATGCTTTGGAGTGATTTTTCGCCTGATATTTTCGAACCGACACGACCTTCAAACCTTCAAGTACTATTTGTTAATAGGTCAGTAACGTGCCTGTGACTATTCTGATGTCAGGGACGGTGCTAATCACTAACCATCAGGTGATCTGTCTGCTTGTTTGCCTCTGATTCCACAAAACAGAAAAAGTCGACAAGATTAAAGAGTTTTTGACGCGGGAGAACCCTGTACGTTGTGTTGTGTATAATTTATGAGTGAGGTTTCCGGAGACCCAATGGAAGCTCTATTACTTTCTGTATGAATGACGAATAGATCACACTCAAATCTGGAGTAACAATTTGTAGATTACACAAAGAGTTGTTCCGTGCGGGAATCAAACCCGCAATATCTTGCACAGCGTTGAAATGGCCAGCCACCGCATCATCCGTGATTAAATTAATTCTACACGATACTTGCTAATCTTGTAATCAGAATGTAGATATTATGTCTAGACAGTCAGATATACATGTATGTTCTTCTGCAAAGACAAGGACTACAAGGAAATTCCATTACCAAAAACATAGTTAGTAGTTCAAACATACTTGTTCTATACTTAAAACATTTTAAATCTACTACATCTAAAATATAGGTATAGGTGTTTTAAGAACGTGGTCGTTGACACACATTTTTATTTATTTACACAACAATAAAAATGTTAACACAAAGAGCAGGCTACAACCACAGACTGGGGTTGGCGGCCTGGGCGGTCTTATCACGCACGGCGATTTCTTCCAGACAACCTTTATTTTAAATTTTCACTCACACAGTCACACACACAGTTATTTCACACTTTTATTTTAAAATTTTCTAAGTTATTAGAACAAATAAGTTGTTTTTTTTTAAATAAAACCTAGCTACACATACGTAAAACAGATTTTTAAAGATTTTTCCATGCTGAAATGGAATCCACGATACACTGTGGAGCATCCGCCATCTAGTGTTATTACGCACTTTATTGTGTGAAGGGTGAAATACACCAAATTTTCTTTTTCTTTTATTTTCTTGCCCTGTGTTAGAGATACGAGAGTGTTAGATTCTTACTGACTGTTACGCTTGTTCCCGTAACCTTGGCTGAACACTGCGCTACTGATCACGCAGTCGACTCGTAGGCTGAAACTAGTAGGGTTTTCTCAATTAGTCCATGTCAGTAAGTCGTTTTCTAAACTAATATTATGAAGAGGTTTTTTTTTTTTACTTGCAATAAACCAGTGCTTGACTGCGATCCCACCTGATGTTAAGCAGTGATGCAATCGTTGATGGTAAGGCGCACTAGTTTATTAAGAGCCTATTCACTCTAGCCTTGAAGACACCAAAATTGTATTCGGACCGAAAGACTGCAGCCGGCAAACTGTTCCAATCCCTCAATGTACGCGGTATAAATGACGAGGCAAAACGCTTAGTCCGGGCCGCAGGTGTCTCAACAACGTAGGGGTGGATATTCGCCGTACGCCGGGATGTCCGAAGGTGAAATTGGGATGGCGGAATCAAATCGTGCAATTCCTGGGCACACTCTCCAAAATGCATCCTGTAGAAAACCGCAAGGCTGGCTACTCTGCGCCTGTGCTCGAGACTTTGAATATTGGACCCAACCAAATCTGGATCTCCAATCAGCCTCTTTGCACGCCTTTCCACCGAATCCAAAGCCGCTAGGTGGCATTTCGCAGCACCAGCCCATATGTGGCTGCAGTACTCCACACACGATCGGACCTGAGCTTTGTACAACATTAGAAGCTGACTCGGTGTGAAGTACCGTCGGACTTTTGCAAGGACGCCGAGTTTTCTAGCAGCTACCTTGGCTCTGGACTCAATGAACCGCCCAAAGTTAAGGTCTGAAGCAATGTCCATTCCCAAGAGCTGAAGGCGGTCGGTGCATTCCAGGGATACATCCCGAAAAGCAGGAGCCAAGGTGAACGGGCTCCTTTTGGCGGTGAATAGACACGCCTGTGTTTTGGTGGCGTTGAATGTTACCAGATTAGTTTTGCCCCACTTTGAAACTACCTG